TATGATATTTATTACAGCCAATGTTTTAAATTCTGCACGCTTTGACTCGATTTCGTTTTGTGAAAAATTTGAAATTAACTTTTAATTGGTTTCCTCTGGGCCTCCAGTGTTCGCAAATTTTCATTTTCACTAGCCAAAATGGCTAGTGAAGCGCAAAAACCACCAGCCAAAAAGGAATTTTTACTAGTCTGTGGCTAGTTGGCGACCGTTAGTCTTGAGCCCTGTCCATGAATGAAATTATTGCAGGCTCAATTTTCATTTTGTCACCCACTGATGCTCTGTACTGCACCTGCATCCTCGGAAATAAGTTGTGCAATCGTATCGGCTGTTTTGATCAGGGTGTGGCATTTACATGTAGTAGTAATGTCAACACTTCAAATAGCAAGCCAAATACGAGCAGAAAGAGCAAAAGCATTCCTTTCAGCCTTCATGGCAGTCTAAGAAGCCTTGGTTTTTATTTGTACCTGCAGTGGATTTTCTGTGTCTGCTGACAGCCTTAACTACGGAGACTTGGAGACTGGTCACGAGAAAACAATAAAAAAGTAAACTTTCCGTTTACATGCTGCTATGTTGCCATTCTTCCCTATTGAACAGGCAAGTAAAATTTTGCCAGGGCAAGTATGTCATCTGGCATACTTGCCCAGCTGATGACTCAGGGAAAAAACCAATATGGATCCCTGTTCACTATGATAGTGTATAGTTTTGGTCATCTTACTGTATATTTCTTGGGGAGAACCTAAGTTTGCAAGGCCCGTGGTTTTTTTTAAGTTCCCTCGCAATTTTTTCTCTATTTTTTGTATACTAAAAATTGTGATTTCTTTGTATCTTTTTTTATGGCAAATAAAAATAAAGTTTAGTTGCATGTTTAGTGCCAAGCTTATAGTCAAAGACTCAAGGGATTTGCTTCCCCAAGTACTACATAATGATGTACTGTAGGTTTTCAAAGTCAACCTGGGTAGGTTTATCCCAAAGTAAGTGTTCAGAGATTCTGATGACAGATGTTGTGACAATTTCCAAACATTCCAAACTTTTTCAGAGTTCAGTCCCAGGATGTGTTGTGCAAAACATGAGGTTGAAAATAAAATTGTGAAGCAGTGTCAGTGACATGTACTTGGACTTTACTTTTCTTGCATTAGTTTAAGTTAACATACTTAGGGCTGGTGACTGGTGGATGCGAGACTGTGAGAAGGCGAGACTAGCATTTTTCTTTGCAAGCCTGAGACATTTTGATTTTTTAACTGGGGAGACAGATCTCAAAGTTTCTTTTATTAATGTGGGGGCAAGATTAAAGACTCTAAGAGGTTCAGACTTCATTTTCTAGAAACAAACAAATCAGGGCTTCAAGAGTAACAAAAAATCAAGACGTGGTCTCTGTGACAACTTTGTGAGAAAATCAAGGCTGTGAGACGCACATAACTGCTAAAAAATGAGACTGAAACCTGAGAAATCGAACGAAAATTTTGCGAGAGCCCTGGTTTTGAAGTACCATTTGCCTCTCCTATATTTGTGAGAGGCCAAACTTGTAGGAGGGCAAACAACATAATTTGTGAATTAAACAAAGTTTGTTGTATTTAATGAAATAGATTTACAGAGATGTGGCACTATCTTGGATGAGTATATTAGATAAAAACTATTCTAATTAATTGTAAAGAAACTGGTCAGGGAATTCTCAGTAATTTACTGATGCTACATG